CCCCACAGCTAACAGATTTAGCTTTAGTACCTTACATTCCTAGGTGAGTGCCATCTCTTTGGGGTCACATGTCCACTCTAGGTTCACCTGTGTGGTGTGCCCCTTTAGGTGATATGGGTGGAACAAAATCTCCAGGGAGAAAGTTCCAGGCTACTGTAGTTACTTCGTGAACAGAATTTTTTTCTGTTAATTACCATCACCACCACCACCCCTTTGTTTATTTTTTTTCTTTGAAGGATTTTGGAAACCCAAGTCCCAATATTGGATGTAGCTCAGTAGCACTTATCTCAGTTTTAAGTTCTTACAGGGTAGGATTTAGGAGTTGACTCCTTCCCCATTCCCCTTTCTCACCCCCAGCTTCTAACTTAAATCTGGCAGTCAGCAAATGTGTTTGGGTAAGTTAATGAGAATTCTGGATGAACAGAAAAAATGTATTCAGTGCAGAATAAAAGGAGGGCTATTCTCTGGTGTGTCTCAGTCAGGGTTAGATTTGCTTATGGGTTTGTTCTACTGTCTTGGGACCAAGTACCACAAAGGCTCTTCTGGTACATTTGTTTTTTTATTTGGTTGGGTTTTTTTGTTTTGTGTTTTTCAAGACAAGGTTTCTCTGTGTAGCCCTGGCTGTCCTGTAGACCAGGCTGGCCTCGGACTTACAGAGATCACCTGTCTCTGTCTCCCAAGTGCTGGGATTAAAGGTGTGCACCACCACTTCCTGGCTTACTGTGTCTTTTTGACACAGTTCCTGACCTTTGATTTTCCCTTGTGGATGAAAGGAAGTAAGCATGAAATTAAACTTTTAGGGGCCGGGTGGTGGTGGTGCACGCCTTTAATTCCAGCACTTGGGAGGCAGAGCCAGGTGGATCTCTGTGAGTTCGAGGCCAGCCTGGGCTACCAAGTGAGTTCCAGGAGAGGTGCAAAGCTACACAGAGAAACCCTGTCTCGGAAAAAAAAACAAAAAACTTTTAGGGTTGTCTGAGCTATGGAGCTTGAGCAGTATGTAGCATCTAAATGCTAATCATTTTTGTTTGTAGGATGTGGCTTTATTTCTCCAAGAATTTAAGGCTCCTGACATATTCATGGGAGTGCTGGCCAAATCCAGGTGCCCCCGATTAAGAGTAAGTGTGCACAGTTCTTCTCTTTTTGCTTATGAAAAAAAATCGTGTAAAAATACTTATTGGGCATTCTTAGGTAATATACTCCTTGAAGTGACTAGATATGTAGCATTTTAGATTTGGATTAGATTTGGGAGAGCAATAATTTAACAGCTGTGGAAACCAGACAGGCATAACCATACTAGGCTGCTAAGAAGTGACAGAGCCAGAAACAGTGCCCAGACCCGCCATTTATTTCTCAGTTCATTGTTCTTTTTATTCACAAAGCCCTCCATTGTCTAACAATGTCTTAAAGTCGTTGCTGGTCAGGACTCCCAGTCTGATTGTGAGAACTCGGGTGTACAATCTACCCGCACGCTCTTCCTGGTCCAGGGCGGTCTTTAGCCTGGCTCGCCAGCACGTGACCATTTCCGGCCTTCCCTTCCCTTTCAGTCTGTTACTCAGTGTGGCACTTTTCTGCCTTGTGGTCATTGCTGAGAGCAAGCTCCCAAGAGCAACAGCTGGAACTCCGTGAGCAGTGCAGTGTCCTGAGCTTTCCTGTCTCTCTCTGTGTGCAGTGCACTCTGTGAGCAGTGCAGTGCCCCGAGCTTTCCTGTCTGTCTGTCTGTCTCTGTGTGCAGTGCACTCTGTGAGCAGTGCAGTGTCCTGAGCTTTCCTGTCTCTCTCTGTGTGCAGTGCACTCCGTGAGCAGTGCAGTGTCCTGAGCTTTCCTGTCTGTCTCTGTGTGCAGTGCACTCTGTGAGCAGTGCAGTGTCCTGAGCTTTCCTGTCTGTCTGTGTCTGTGTGAAGTGAACTCCGTGAGCAGTGCAGTGTCCCGAGCTTTCCTGTCTGTGTCTCTGTGTGCAGTGCACTCTGTAAGCAGTGCAGTGCCCTGCGCTTTCCTGTCTGTGTCTCTGTGCAGTGCACTCCATGAGCAGTGCAGTGTCCCGAGCTTTCCTGTCTGTCTCTGTGTGCAGTGCACTCCATGAGCAGTGCAGTGCACCAAGCTTTCCTGTCTGTCTCTGTGTGCAGTGCACTCCGTGAGCAGTGCAGTGTCCTGAGCTTTCCTGTCTCTCTGTGTGCAGTGTCCCGAGCTTTCCTGTCTGTGTCTGTGTGCAGTGCACTCCGTGAGCAGTGCAGTGCCCCAAGCTTTCCTGTCTGTGTCTGTGTGCAGTGCACTCCGTGAGCAGTGCAGTGCCCCGAGCTTTCCTGTCTGTGTCTGTGTGCAGTGCACTCTGTGAGCAGTGCAGTGCCCCGAGCTTTCCTGTCTGTCTCTGTGCAGTGCACTCTGTGAGCAGTGCAGTGACCCGAGCTTTCCTGTCTCTCTGTGCAGTGCACTCTGTGAGCAGTGCAGTGTCCTGAGCTTTCCTGTCTGTCTCTGTGTGCAGTGCGCTCTGTGAGCAGTGCAGTGTCCCGAGCTTTCCTGTCTGTCTGTGTCTGTGTGCAGTGCACTCCATAGGCAGTGCAGTGTCCCGAGCTTTCCTGTCTGTCTCTGTGTGCAGTGCACTCTGTAAGCAGTGCAGTGTCCCGAGCTTTCCTGCCGGATCTGTCTCTACGTGCAGTGCACACAATGCGTGGTTGTCAGTGTGTGTTGGGTGACTGTAGTTTATGAACATCCACTCTCTGCTCTTGGCCTTTACTCCTCCTTTGAGACACACGTAATAGATGAAGAGCCGAGTCTCAGACTAAGATAGTGTGTCCACACTCACACAGCTTGTGAAGACGGAGCTGGAGTCTGAGCCTCTCCCAGCTCCAGTGTAACCCTGGTTAGTGTTGCTTCTTTTCCTTTGAGACAAAGTGGAACATTCCGTGGGGTGTATTACAAATTGAATGTTGAATGAAGATTAAAAAAAACCTTACATATTTATGGATATACTTTGTCTGCGTGCATGTCTGCACTCCAGAAGAGGGCACTGGATCTCGTTGTAAATGGATGGGAGCCACCATGTGACTCCCAGGAAGGAAGAGCAGCCAGTGCTCTTGACTGCTGAGCCGTCTCTCCAGCTCCTTGAATTAAGGTTTTTATTCAGTGGGATGCTGCACCCATAATGGGTCTGTGTATTAACATAAAGTGCTGACAGTTTGGTGGCATTCCCCTCGATTTTACTATTTTTTTATATGAATCATGATTAGTCCAGGAATTAGCCACACTGCTGTAAATGTGTCCTGGCCACAGCCTGCTACAACAGTGGTTCTCAGCCGTGGCTGTATGATGGAATCACTAGGCCACCGATCTTAAACGTCAGACGTCCCAGATCACTGGTGCCGAGCCCACCTCAAAAGCATCTGGTCCAGTAGGTCGGGGCAGGACCTGGGTGTCCGCTGTGCTCCCAGGTGATGTGTCAGTACTTCAGACCAGGGCCATATTCTGTTCAAAAGCTTTGTCCTGGGGGACCTTCAAAAGTCAGGCCACATCTCCACATGTGGGAGTCTAAGCAGTTTTTGACATCTACCAGGGACTCCCATGAGCAGCCCAGACAGGAGCTTGGTCTTCAGCAGTGTCTAAGAGAATGTGTGTTTTCTGCCCCAGATCGCTTGCTCTTTTCCCGATGTTTGACCCCCCTGCATTTAACTAAACTCTTTAGTCCCTCTTTTGCTTCCATTGGCTTTTGTCCCTTCCCGTTTCTTCCTGTGCCTGAGTCTGGTCTCTGTCCAGGGTGCACACCCCTGTTCTCATTACGGTTACTTCCCTCGTGAGCCCGGGCACACTTAGGACTCGGGGTTGAGCCTGCAGGGTCCATCTGCATCGCACTAGGGAGACAGGCACACGCCACCACAGGCAGCTTAGCTCCGTGTCTTATTCTCCTAAGTCACAGCTCCATTCCTGCAATGCCACAGCCCTGGCTCCCCTTTGGTACCTGGTGTCACTCCCAACCTTCTTCAGGAATTTTCCACCTGCATGCCTGTTTTCTTATCCCGTATCCTCTGTTCTAATTCAATGATCGTCACACTGATCATAAGAACTCCCGGTGCACTTGGTAAACACCAGCTCCAGAGGCTGTACCCTGGGGATTCTGAGTCAGGAGAGTTGACGGGGCTATGGAAAATGTTGGCAAACTCCCTGAGTGTGGCGTCCCAGCCAGTTTGGGAACCCTGTTCTGTGTGAAGGCACTGGGTCCTTTCTTCTTAATTTTTCCTGTTGATAGGACTAGTACTTCCGACTGGAAAACCAAGGCAACCTCACTGCCGTGAGCTGTGCCTTACACTCTCTCTTCACCTCCTGACAGACTATTCGCCTTCCCTCTAGGATCTTCAGCGCTGAGCTTTTCCATGCCCGCCGTCACCCCTCATTGATAATAGCAGCCATGCCTTCTTAGGCAGAGTACCCTGGTACACGCAGCTCCGGACTGCTGCTCTATCCCACTTGGAGACCTTAGGCAGGTTGCTTGTCCTCCCTGGGTTTCCTCATTTGAAAAGTGGGAACCATACAGTCCCCATCTTGTGACGACTGTGTGAAACGATACGTGGATAACATGCTTCAGTGTGTTGTGTTCCCTCTCTGAGAACCTTCATGGCTCCATATGCCATCCCATATTAAGTCTAAACTCTGAGCATGACAGTCCAATCCTTTTACTCCCGATCCTTTTCCTCTGCTGTATTTCTCATGTTTCCCGTCTCCCGTTCCTGTGCTCTCTCCATTAGTTGTCCGTGTTAAGAACTCTTTCCACCATAGTGTTTCTTCCACTGTGATTTCTGCCTTTGGACTTCCTTTGTGTCTTTTATTCCTTCTCAACTAGGTGAGCTGCATAAGCCAAGTATATAAATCTGGGTGCCAGCAGTAAACTCCCATATTCTGCCTCTCCCTTCCCTCCCCCAAACTTGGTTCAGTAGAAGTTTTTGTTGACGTTGTCATTCTTGTGGCTTTTTCCTCACAGCCATTGTGACTTGTGTTATTTGATTTGACAGGAAATCTGTGTGGGAATTTTAGGGAATATGGCTTGTTTCCAGGAGATATGTGTGTCCATCAGCAGCTGCGAGGATCGTGGGTAAGTCCCACTACCTAATAGCCGTGTTTCTCAGGATGGGTTCTAAGTTTCTATCCCAGGGGAACCCTGGTACCTAGAAGTAAAAGTGTGGAGTGTGACGTTCCATGGTCTCAGGACGCCTGTGTGTTGATGTGGCTTCTGTAGCAGCTGGGGACGTGACTCAGGACCGAGCCTGGGCATCCATGCTAAGGCATGAGTCATCACAGCGAGCAGGTGGGCAGGGAGAAGAATGTGTAGAGCCTGAGGTGAGCTGGGGCCACTGGCCAGAACCCAGAACAGTGTGAGCATAGAGAATCCAAGGACCCAGAACTAGTCTGGGAAACTCGAGTACTGAACAGTGTTGCTCTGAGAACTTCGACTTAAGTCGGGGAGTGGGACTTGCCCACAGGACCAGAAGATAAGGAGTTCCCTGTGGGATTAAAAGCCTGTCAGACAAGCCTAGAGGCTAGTTCCCTTCTAAAGCCAGGAAGCTCTGGGCAGAGGGCTTTTTAATAGTGGCATCTCTGGTGGTTTCCGGATCTGAGAACATGATCCATAGGATGGGCATATTCATTTTCTTGGTGGTGGTTCATGGCTGTTAACTTAGGATCTTAAAGAGGTCTGTGTCCAGCATATGTTAAAGTGATTGTTCTTATCAGAGGGTCGTAAGGGTTTGTCCCTGTTTTCAAGGACCTGGGCCTTTTGAATTATCTTTGTTACATCCACACACAAGGTGTTCTAGGATGAATCGAAGAACAAATGAACAATGATTCTGCGTCACTTAGAAACAGATAAAAAGATGCACAGATAACCAATGTTTTAAGGGAAAAACCATAGCTGCTTTCATATAAAATTAAATGCAAAATCAGAAATCTATTAACAAAACTATGGAGCAGAGCGAGGAGATGATTTCTGGGGAAGTCAGGGTCACTTTTCTAGGTGGGAAAGGAACGAACACATTGGGGACACACAGGGAGCTGCAGATGGGCAACTCTGCTCTGTTCCTTAGAAACATGAGCATTTGCTCTAAAACGGATTCTCAACCTGTGGGTCAGACCCCTTTGGGGGGGGGGTGTCACATATCAGACATTTACATTACAATTCGTAACAGTAGCAAAATTACAGCTATGAAGTAGCCACAAAGTAAGTTCGTGGTTGAGGGTCACCCCAACATGAGGAACTGTATTAAGGGGTCGCCGCGGTAAGAAGGTTGCGAACCGCTGCTCTAGAATTCACTGCATTTATGCTTTGTCTTACTATTAAGAAAAAAAGTTTAAAGTGAAATGAAAACTGGTTCTTGGCAATGAGTGAAGCTCATGGTTCACTGTGGCTCTGCAGGCAGGTGATTCTGCAGTGTTTGTGTGACTCGGACCCACCCACTCTGCTGGAGACCAGCAGGTAAGCCCGTCTCTCCGGGGGGTCCGTCAACCCCTCATCGGGGACCCGGGAAAGCAGGTGAATTCTTGACTGTCGGTGGCCTTGCTGTGTTCCACGGAGATATTGAGCTCACATCTGTCATGTAGGTTGTTGCTTACTTGCCTTTCCCAGACAGAAGTGGCCAGTGTCTGGGTTGAGAGGATCCGGGAGCACCCATCTATTTATGCTAGTGTTTGCTTCATCATGTCAAGTTCCACAAATGGTGAGTCGCCGTGAAATCCAGGGGGGGAGATGAGAGCACATCGGAGGAAGCCGCTTTAGGCTTCTCATTTCAAAATGTTATGTTTTCATTGTTTACATTTATGGGTGTTTACCTGCATGTATATCTGTGTATCTCTTACATGCTGGTGTCTGCCTGGTACCCACAGAGGCCAGCAGGGCGTGTCAGGTCCCCTAGGACTGGAGCTGCAGACAGTGTGAGCTGCTTGCAGTGTGGGTGCTGGGAACCAAGCCTGGGTGCCCTGGAGTACCAGCGAGTGCTCTTCATGGCTGGGCCATGTCTCCAGCCCCGGGCAGCCACTTTGCCCTGAAGGAAGATAAGCCAGTTTAAAGAGGCTCCTGGAGACCCCCGGAAGGCAGTGACAGCTTGGCAGATGTGGCTCTTGAGCAGCTTGAGGAGCGGTACCTCCCCTTGTAGCTTCAGACACTTGGGTTCTCAATTGACCGCCTGTCCTCGCTGCAGTTGACTTGCTGGTGAAGGTGGGGGAGGTCGTGGACAAGCTCTTCGACCTGGACGAAAAGCTCATGTTGGAGTGGATTAGAAATGGGACTGCCCGGCCTCGGGACCAACCCCGGGAGGACTCCGAAGAGCAGCCGGTGTTTTCCATTGTCCCCTGTGTACTGGAAGCTGCCAAACAAGTACGGTAGGTGGACGCTTGTACAGAATGTTCTGGAAAAATTCACCTGTTCAAACGCCTTAGGTGGCAGAGTCTTCGTTTCAGTCTGCAGCCAGTCTCTTAGGTTTGTGGTGGCAGAGTAGTTCCTCTGTAAGAATCACAGGGTTCTGAGCATTTGCTCCAGGATGACTTGGTCACGGGCGTTTAGCTTGCCGTAGTGACTGACGGCAATTTTATGTCTTTTAAACAGTCAAGGAGAAAAGATTTCCTTGGTGTATTTGACATTGAACATGAAACAGCTCCGTTGAGAGTATTTGTTTTCTCTCTCCTTCCTCCTTGTGTCCATATACCAATCTGTGTAGATGGTCGACTCGGGGGCTTTGATGTCTTGTCATGAGAGGCAGTAGTAGTCTATAGGTCGTTAAAACAATTTATCACTAAGAACTGTAAGATGAACGTTTGGATTATCTGCTTAGTTGTTAACAGCATATTCTCAGAACTTACGAGGCTGTGTTAAAAGCTATCAATTTTATATCTTTTATCAAATGAAGATTAAGCCACATACATATCTGCTTCTTCAGTATTTCCAGTCAGTAAATGGTGTTGCCAGTATCCCGTCTGGATCTGGAGAAGGTGGGAGAATTGAGAAGCCCTTACTGACTCCTCCCTATCCAGCTCTTTCCTCTCAGCCAGTCAGCTTCCAAGCCATGCTTCCGACTCTTGCTGTGACCCCATCCTGGCAGCCAGGCCTGTTCTCCAAGTGCCACACTCTGCCCTCTGAGCGGCCTGCCCTCCGGCGTGCCTCTCCCGAGCCTCAGCCTTGGAGCTGCTTCTGCAGCGCGTGTCCACCTTGCTCTCATGCTCCAGGCTTTTCGGTGGCCTTCCTTAGGACATAGTTCGGATCTTAAAACAAACAAAACTGGCTCCCGAGCCTCCACACAAGGTCTGCCCCTCCTCGTTCCGGCTTCAGCCATGTGAGATTGCATTCCGCAGAGAACCAGGCCCTCTTGCCTCCAAGCCTTTGCTCAGGGTGTCTCTCCAATGCTGCAGACACCTGCCTCTTCAGATTACCATGGAAACACCATTTCTCTTCAGCCCTCTTCACCAACTAAATTTCTGTGTGGTCTTTTCGTGCCTGGGCCTCCTAGTGTTGAATTCATTTTGTTTTGTGGTAATTGCCCTTTAATTACCTTCTTTCCTCTCAGACCGTTACACTGGTGAAGGTGGGTGTAACATCCTAACCACCTCTGTCCCCAGCCCTGGCATTAAGTGCCCCGAAGTGACAGATACTTGAGCAAACACAGCTGAGCCATTTAATTGTGCGTGTTTTTCACTTAATTGTCTGGTTGAAGACACAGCGTTTTGAGTGCCAAGGATACAAACCGTAGACGAAGGAATTGGGTTTTTGTGGCTCTGGTGTTCTCAGCGAGGGAGCTAGGGTGAGCTGTGGAGTCTAAGGAGCGTCAGGACATGGCGTCTGTGCTGTAGGCCTCACATCTCCCGTAGAAATGCCAGTGTCACACATGTAGACTCCCACACACCGCATATGTACACTAACATACACACTCACATTCACACACTTCATATATACACTCACACATTCACACACATACACTCACATGTACACACATACACATTCACACACATACACCACATATATACTCACACACATTCATACATACATTCACACACATACTCTCATATATACACTCACACATTCACTCATATTCACACATTCACACTCACATATAGACACACATACACACTCACATCATGCACTTCATATATATATTCACACATTCACACACACATTCACACACACATTCACACACACACTCACATATATTTACACATTCACACTCATGTATAGACACACACACACATACACACATTTTTCCCTCTTCCCGATTTTAATGTGAGTCTAATGAGCAGACTCCATTCAGTTGGCCGTTTCACATTCTGTGCTTTAGTACAAGGTCACATAGAGCTGCTGAGTGAATGGATGGTTGCTGTCCTCTAAACAGGGAAGTTAAGAGTGCTTTTGCCGTTTCTGTCTGCCTAGTTCTGAAACCCTGGAAGGGCTGGATGTTTACATGCACGTCTTGCAGCTGCTTACCACAGTGGATGATGGAATTCAGGCAATCGGTAAGGAGGTTTCTTGGAACATGCTGTAGTTGCTCACTTAAGCGCTCACTATTTTTAAATTACTACTTGTGAAATATTTCTCAAGTGCAGTGTCCTGATACTGGAAAAGCCACGTGGAATTTCCTTTTTGACCTGGTGTGCCGTGAGTTCTGCCAAGCGGGGGACCCGCCCATCATCCTGCAGGAGCAGAAGACGGTGCTGGCCTCTGTGCTCTCGGTGCTGTCCGCCCTCAGTGCTTCCCAGTCCGAGCAGGGGCACCTGGACAGAGAAGAAGGCAAGTGGCGTCTGCTCACCAAACGGGACCGGTGCCGCCAGATCACAGGCGCCAGGCCGCGTCTCCTCTTCACTGGCTTTCTTTCTCAGGTTTTTTCCATTTAAAAAGAAAACACCCTTATTCCCCTAGTAACATAAAAGGTTAAGTGCTTAATGCAAAAGCATTATAAGGTTTATAAAAAGGCCTCGAGGAGGGGCTTGGGGTAGAGCTCAGTAGTGAGGTGCTTGCTTAGCCCGAGTGCCCCCTGCGTCAGTCCCTAGCATCAAAAAGAACAGTGTGGCTCTGCCCAGAGTCTGCCCAGAGGTACCACCCTGCTTCTGTCACGAGTGCTCCCTCAAGTCCTCTGTGTATTTACTAACTCCGTTGTGCTCACGGATCTGTCGCCGAGTACTTTTGACAAGTTGTATATTTCAGTACCCAGTGACGACAGTCTCTCCTCAGTCTGATATCTCGGTGTTTCTGACTGTTGGACTTGTTTAGTGCTCAATTAGGGTGACGAGTTCGAAGCCCCGTGTGCTTTCTGATGCTTTCATTGGTGTTGTGTTGCATGTGTGGCATGTCCAGGAATGCACTGTGTGGGTCCGTTTCAGAAGGGCTTGAGGCTTTTCATCGTACGGATCTTGCATTCTTATCTGGTTTATTCCTGCACATTTTATCTTCTGAATCGCTGTGCTCTGTGGCTTACTCTCTTCCACTGGGGACTGTTGGACTTTATGGAGGCGGGGGATGTGCATTCACTCTGATTGCACCTTTATCTACTTAGCTGTAGTGGTTTTTTGCTGTGCTTGGGGTTGGACCCAGGGCCTTGCACATGTGAGTAGGAATCCTGTCACCAAGCTACATCCACATTCCTGTCTTATTGCTCCTAAATTCTCTTTATTGATTGATTGATTGATTGATTGATTGATTGTGGAGGGGGATGTTTTGCCTGCATGCACACATGTACACCAGATATCTGGTGCCTGTGGAGACCAGCAGAACATGTTGGATCCCCTGAGATGGGGATTATAAAGGGTTGTGAGCCAACATGTGGGTGGTGGGATTTGAACCCGGGACCTCTAGAGGAGGAGCCGGTGCTCTTAACCACTGAGCCATCCCTCCAGCTTTTGTCTTACTGTTTCTGCTAGTAGTTCCCATAACAACCTTGAACTTTATCTGCTGTTAAGTCACATCTACTTCTGTCATTTTTCGTTCCCTGACTTCTTTTTCTATCTAAGTGGGTTGCTTAGTGTCCGGTGTTTTAAGTAACTGGTACAGACATCTTTATCTTCTTCCTGTCCATTGGGAATGGCTCTAGAGTTTCTCCATTCAGTGTTACTGGGCCTAAGGTGCTCGTTTTTGCCTCTCAAGGATGTTTTGACCTCTTCCTGTTTTAAGTTTGTGTCGTTTTGTTTTTTTCTATAAATAAGCACTGTGTCTGAGTGTCAATTCTTTATTTCTGGAGAGGTTACCTCACTGACACTGTGACACTGAGCACAGCCTGAGGGAGCTAGTGGAAGCCGTCCTGTGAGTACTTGGGAGACTAGCGTGCGTAAGAGCGTGGGGCGCTGTGTGTTGGAGGAGCGGGCGAGGCTCTGTGGCTGGGGTGGTTATGAGTGAAAGGAAGAGAAGCAGTGTAGCCGCCAGGAAGTGCAGGGGGAGAGGGGCCTGCTGGGAGTGAGACAGACTGGACAGGTATGGCTGGCTGTAGAGGGCCGTGGGCTGAGAAATGTAGGCAGCTGTGGGTCAGAAGGGAGAAGGGCTGGCCGGCTGTGTGGCTGTCAGCACAAGCAGTACTCTGGCTTTGACCAAGGCGGGAACAGTACAAACGTGGGAGTGTTCTACCTTTAGAGACTGGGAGAGGGAATGGGGAACGAACGGGTGGGGATCTCTGGCGTGCCGCTTACTGAGACAAAGACGACTGGCTTTAAACATACTGCTGGAGGTCTCCAGGGAGGGTGGTGAGGGGCAGTTTAAGTCAGGAGCTGGCGGGAGGCCTGAGCTACAAATGCAGATGTCATGGTGTCAGCTGTGAAGCCGTTCACCCCTGAACCTCAGAGATTTCTTGCTTTGATGTGAAAACCGAGGGAGTCTTATCTCTTAGTGCAGATGTGTTTATCTTGTTCTGGGTTGCCGTGCTTGGCCAATGAGTGCTGCCACGCTGTTGTGTGTATGAGATCTTTCTAGGAACCCCGGGGAGTTTCCTGTGTGAGACAGGGGCACCCCCTTGTCGCTGTTGCCGGACTAGGCCCTCTTACTGCCGCCTGCTGAGCCGCCCAGACTTCATGTAGTTCTTACGTTGGGCAGAGCCTGGACACCGGTGCTAACTCCTGTCACAGTCCGCTCCCTCCTCACCTCGCTGCTGACTCTCCTTGCCCGCTTCAGGCCCTCAGGGGAGCTCTGTAGAGCCAGGGAATATTCCAGTTTTGTCTGCTGCTGTGACACAGCACTGACTGAAGCCAACTTGGATGTGGGGAAGCAGTTTATTAGAGCGTATAGGTCACAGACACCATTGGTGGAAGTTAAAGTGGGAATCAGAAGCAGAAACCACTCTAATTATAGTCCCTAAAACATGTGTAACACTAGTTCAGTGTGAGTGGGTGGGTGGATGAACGAACGAATGAATGAGTGAGTGAATGAATGAATAACGGAATGAATGCTTATCTAGCTGATTTCATTCTCTTGATTTGGTGCAGTGGCTCTTCCCCTAATTGACAGCCTAATTCGGGTGTTACAAAATATGGAACATTGTCAGAAGAAACCAGAGAACTCCACAGAGTCCGACACAGAGGAGCCCACAAACTGTGCCTCACCCCAAGATGACTTCCATATGAAGATCCTGAAGGACATTTCATGTGAATTCCTTTCTAATATTCTTCAGGCGTTAACAAAGGTAGGGAAGGAGTATTGGTGGAGTCTTATGAAAGGTGTGGGTTGCTGACATCCTGAACTTCAACCTTCTAAGGAAGGCATGGCTGTGCTGGGATAGAACCAGAGCCCAGTCCACAGGAGAGAGACACCCGACCTGTGCGCGGTGGCCTCAGCTCCTCTCTTGTTCTTACGGCATTGGGAAAAATGTCTTTTCTCCTCCCTTCTCCTCTCCTGTCCTGTGTGATGCTGGGACCTGCAGCCTCTTCCATGATAGACAGGCGCTATACCTGTGAACTGTGACCTCTTACATGATAGACAGG